GCTGAGACAACTGCCACAGACAGCATACGGAAGACCCTGAAGAACTCTGCTGCTGTCGTGGCGACACAATGTCGATACACGGCTTCCAGACTCTCTCTGGACTTCAGACCAGCACAACTTTTTAAAACGGGGGTGGGAAAGACAGCGGTAGAGCCTCCAGTTTCTTATATTGCTGAGGAAGGACATTTACAGGGGAAAAAAAAAAAAGGAATCCTCATTACATTTTAAAAAAAAGTTGGAATCTGAAGGTCTCAATAAAAACAACTGAATACTGAGCTGTTAGAGAAACTCCCATTGTCTCAGTTTTCCTCATTTCTCTGTAAACCAGCACAGGCAACAGCCTGCATTCAAGACAGTGAACCACAAAATACACTGCCAGCAAAATAAAGAACAAGCTGACACCAGTTGTCCACCAATGATATCTAAACTGAGTAATGCACTAAGAACATAAATTACATCTGGAGGTATTTAGCGGGAAGAAAAATGTCAGTACCAATATTTTTCTACAAAATGACTGTCTAATCTAGAAATCCTAAAATAAGCACCTATAAAATTATTAGAATTACAGAGTTCACACAAGTGGCCTGATACAAACTAAATACACCACATCAGCAGAGTATCAACAGAAATATATGTCTCTGTAATCCCCCTTTAAAAATCAAATTAGGGTAGTTAGCTCTAATAGCCCAAGGCAAATACCACATCTAATTCTCTTTTCCTGAGGAAAGAAATTACATGTTTTAACTGACAGTGGTCCTACGGATTTCTCTTCTGTGTGCTTGAAAACTGTAAGTTGTTCTTTCCAGAAGAAAGACTGTCCGTGTCTGCTCACCAACAAATAGTGGCCAAATCCCACTTCGCTCTAAAAAGAGAAGCCAGGGAAGTGGGTGATGGGACTGGAGTGGAAGCCCAGAGGATCACAGGAGTGCCTGCAGAGAGAGCACCTCACCCAGAGAAAGAAGGCCCAGGACTGGGGTTGTGTTCCTCAGGGAGCCAATTCCTCTCTCTTAGCCAGTCAACCAGGAGTCTGATGTGACCAGATGCACAGTATCCTGGGGGCCTGATACTGCAACTTATATGCCTGGGGTGGGCATACAACTGATCTGAATTCTCCTATTTCAAAGTAGACTTTGCATTCTACTACCTTCTCCTTGATATACTATTGGTGTAAGTTTAGAAATTTCAAAAATTAATGGCTTAGTTAATGGTTAATTATAACTGTCTCCCTGGCAACGGGAGCCAGGCTTAAGGCTTGGCTTGCTATCCCTCACCCCCACCTCTGGCCCTCCCGGGGGACCCCGAGGGCACAGAAGTGGAGGTGCTGCAACTGTGCCCACAACGCACATGCTCCAGAAGCATTCTTTGAGCCAGCAGGTTGTTCTGACGTTGAACCACACTAATAAAAAGGGGAGGCAGTGTGAAAACCAGGGCCCCCCGGCAGGCTGCTGGGTACAGGATGGCGAACACAGCAGGCGGGCAGCAGTCAAAAAAGGCGCCTTTTCTGCTGAACAGCCTTTAGGACTCTGCGGGAGAGGGTGAGGGGGCGATGATACGGGAGAACAGCACTGAGACATGCAAATTACCACATGGGAAACGGATCGCCGGTCCAGGTTCGAAGCGTGATACAGGGCGCTCAGGGCTGGTGCACTGGGATGACCCAGAGGGATGGGATGGGGAGGGAGGTGGGAGGGGGGCTCAGGATGGGGACACGTGTACACCCAAGGCGGATTCAAGTCAACGTATGGCAAAACCACTACAATGTTGAAAAGTAAAATTTTAAAAAAAAAGCGCCTTTTACAAGTGCCCTGCTGGGTCCTCCGGCCCATAGCAGCAAGTGCCGAAGAGCCATCCCAGTAAAGCCCACAAGGGGGCGCCTTTCTCTGCACACCAAGGCCTAGCCGTCAGCTTGATCTCCTGTCTGCCTGTATCTATTTCAAACTCAGGGCTACACAGACGATTCCCCATTCTCATATACCAGGTGGTAACAGCCTTTCCCCAAGACTTACTTTTGGACTTTTTGTCCATTTGGCTCGGAGGTAGATCCCTGGCAAAGAGTGGGACCCTCAATGCATCATTATTTCATAATCGAATGCATTCCAGTGAGGTGGACAATCATAAACAGATGACCGCATCTTAAGACTGGGCCCCAAAGAACCACCAGAAGGACAGAGTCACCTCTGCTGCCATGTGACCACACCCCAACTGTTCCTGGAACCGGAGTCTCCACCTCTGGTGGTACAAGCTTCTGAAAAGCTAATCCAGAGGGCGCTGGCCATGGGGACTGCAAGGAGAGCCCAGATACAGCTCAGAGTCCTCCCATATTTATTTCTGCTCCCGTGATATGCACCTCTCCTTTGCCAACCGGGTACAACATGTTTATTTAAAAGGTAATGTTGCCGTGGAGGAGTGCACCAGGCAATAAACAGCTTTCGCAGGCAATTAAACGCAGAAGTGAAATTGAGCTGCTGGTCAGTGGAAACAGCCATTCATCGTGAGTTTGTTCCAGTGTCACAAATGTTATTCCTGTTTCACAACAGGACAGGAACCCATGATTGGGCCACAAATCTCCAGAGGCTGGAGGCAGACCCGAAGAGATTAAAGCAGCTCTCAGCATGAGTGCAGGGCATCATCAGGGAAGAGTCCTAGGACGTTGGCCCTGGAGAATGCTCCAGCTTTTTTTAAAATAGGCTTTTCACTGAGTAGGTGTTCAATAATTACTTGTGACTTGCATGACTTTATAGGGAGACTTATTGGAAGTCTCAGCTCTACAATGAAAAGTCAACGATTTCTATTCGTAAACAATTCAGGACCCTCCCCACTAATTTCTAAGTCTGGCTTTAGAAAATTATGACAATCTCCACTAGAACCGATCTTTTCTAGGAACCAGAAAGGAGCTCTTTGTTCTGAAGACATTTCACACTGTTCCCCACAAACACACTGATACACAAAGCAGCAAGGGAAGATGACATCAAAGCTACCGCTCCGGTGCAGAGCGAGGAGGGAAGTCGGATCTTAGCAAGAGTCAAGACAGTAGATGGTGGAGATGTTGCTTAAGCCTCAGGCCCTTCAGGTGGAGCCAGGGTCAGACCAGGGGGGAAGGTCCAGTGAGGGAGACCGGCTCAGTGCCGTGCAGACGCAGCTGCGGGACACCTTTCACAAGGAAGACAGGAAAACATGGCTATAGAGACGAGAGGACCACTGCACCCTCTCTCCTCCGGGGAAGCTTCCACCAGGAATGGGGAAGGCACTGTCCACAGAGCAGAGCCAGGGCGCCCTCCTGACGCAGCAGAACAGCCAGGTGGGCAGAGGCTCTGCCCCAGATCACCATTCCCCATGCCCCTGCCATAGTGACTTGGTGAACAAGTGAGCTGTTTATTTCCCAGCCCTTAAACATTGGTTATAAGTATTATTGCTAGGTGTTTCTATTTAATTACTGCTTCCTTATAACACATGTGGGGCTTCGCTGGTGGCTCAGCAGTGAAGAACTGGCCTACGTGCAGGAGACCACCTGCAATGCAGGAGATGCAGGTTTGATCCCTGAGTCGAGAAGATGCCTGGAGAAGGAAGTGGCAACCCACTCCAGTATTTTTGCCTGGAGAATCCCAGGGACAGAGGAGCCTGGAGGGCTACAGCCCATGGTGTCGTAAAGAGTCAGACACGACTTAACGACTACAAAACAAACAAATCTGTTTAGCAACTAAACAAATAAGATACTTCCTTCTCCTTTCTTAGAACAGCATCTCTAACAGAAATCAACCTAAAACGTGTCCCAAATCATAAAACCCAACTGGCACTTTGAAAGACCTGCAGGACTCGAGCCTGCGGATTATAAATCACTGAATTTCCTTTACACTCACATCAGCTGTAAATTCCAGCACCTTTTTAAAAAGTATGATGCTAAAAGTAACTCATGAAAAACTTACAAAAATGAGTAGCCCAGAGATTAAAGCTGACGCATGACTATTACAAGTAAGTCAGATCCATAAAGCCAGTGGGAGAGCCCAAAAAAGAGGTGAAGTGAGTATCAACAAACTTCTCCACACCAACAAACACAAAATGGAACAGAACTGCTCAGAAGAAAATGTCAATGCACATTTTTTAGAAGTGGGCATAAAAAGGTCAAAGACTTACCCTAAACTCCCCAAATACATATACCTCAGTGTGTTGGAATCAATGTGGAAAGCCCACACACAGTAAACGCGCCCAAAATGAGAACAACTCTCGCACAATTGGTATTCTACAGGTGGAGGGGATTTGGAGGCGCTGATTCTAAGTGCTTATGCATGCACATTCTCACAACATGCTAATCCAGCCTGGGAATGCTATGCTTTCCAGGCCTTGAATATGCCACGGACAAACCGGCATGAGAGAAGTGGTGAAAAGAGAAGCAGAATAGCGCTGAATAAATGTCCCCTGATAATGCAAAATGCTTTGTTTTACCCCAAATACTGAAAGCTCTTGATTGCACACTATTTCAGAAACACATACGCAGTGTATGAAAGACTGACCTCCATTCCCAGATACAAATGATCTCCAGGTGGCCCAGCACAGCAGTGACCTAGTTCTTCTCTCACCTTTCTTCCGTGCAAACACACAGATCACTCTGCATCTCCCTTCTAGGGCGCAAACGCCACCTCGGTTACACCACCCAGAAGGCTGAGTCGAGCATTCTCTAAGCTGCTCTCCACAGTGAGGGCGAGGCTGGAGGAGCTGAGGCCTCACACACAAGCCACTTCCAAAAGTGATTCTGGCCCCTGGGCGTTTACACGAAGTGACACTCAAGTATGAGAAAGTAAAATTTCAAAATGCAAACAAATGTACGCACTTTTTTTTTTTTTTTTTACAATTCCTTTCAGTCAGTGTCTGCGGTTAAATGGTGTAATGCGTAGAGTGAAAACTTTCTGCATGTTTTGCATGATGGCGCACATGTGTGCTGGTCTGGGTGTATGTGCGTGTGTGCGGTTTCAAACATCCAGTTCCCTCGCTGGGTAACAACCTACCTGCCACTGGTTTCCGGCCTGGCCAGGCATATAAGGCGCTGGGAGGCTCCGGAGGCTGTTCTTCACAGGGGAGCCCCCAAGGGGATTTCCCACGTCCCCAGCAGAGGAGTCAGCAGCCAAGGCCATGGAGTACTGCGGGTAGTTGTAGAGATTGTTGTAGTACGGAAACAGAGACGGCTGGTAGAAGCTGCTGTAGTAGGTGGGGTCAGACACGAGCTCAGGGGTGTTCTCCACGTGCCCTCTGCTGGTGACAGCAGGAATATCCTGGATGACCATCCGTCCCTCTAGAAAGAAAGAACACGACGACATGCTATCAGTTTCAGGACCACAAAATTCCACCTGTAAACCTTGCCAACATACGGCCTCCGTCCTCAAGATCCACAGAGCTTCAGAGCAAGGCTCCGGAATGTGCTGCGTGCCCTGTGGCCAGAAAACAGGAGAGTTTCGAAGGCTGGAGTAACGTGGGCAGCACAGCCGACAGACACTGGTGGTTATTTTTACTGAGAACGCCAAAAATATTTTAGGCAGGGGTCATTTTAATTACATAAAGCCTGACCACGTTTAACTTCTACAGAGAAATCTCCTACCCTAATGTCAAGAAATCAGAGATCAAATCTAGCTAAGTTGGCTATCTGCAAGTCTTAGAACAAAATTAATTGTATGTAACTTTAAATAAAGTAATAATAAAATCTAGATGCCTTTTCTATGTGTCTGTCCACACCAGTATGTCTGAAGGCAAAGCAAGAGGCTAAGAGTTTAAGCAAACATTGATTTCTTTCATCTCGTTCCAATTGATCATTCTTTATCGTTCCTGAGTCTGAATAATGGTATAGACCTGGGAGACAAACTTCTGTAAAAGGTCAGTTAGTGTCTATTTTAAGACTTTGTGGCCATTCTGTGGTGGAACATACAGGCTGCTGGGTGCTTGCATTGCAATAAAACTTTATTCACAAATACAAGCAACAGGCCCAAGTGACCCACAGGTTGAAGTTTGCAGCATAGGGTCTAGATGTTAAACCATCAATTCCAATCAACAACTGAATGGACTCCTAAGTCATCTTTCCAACGGCTTTTTATTAAACAATGTTCTAAGAGTTGGCCAGGTGCCTGAGATGGCTACAGGGTATTGGGATGCCCCTGCCCACGTGGAATCTACAGTTTAGGATAAATGATGGGATTACAAACTAAAACAAGGACCCTCATGCAGAAATACCTATGAACATTTATGCAATCTCAAAGGCTAGAAAGATGACACACAGCCTAGAAAGGAATTATAGAGACTGCCATTAAAGAAAAACAAAAACTGCACCTGAGTTTCACTTTAAAAGAGGAGCAGGGGACTTCCCTGGTGGCCCAGTGGCTAAGATTCCACACTCGCAATGCAGGGGACATGGGTTTGATCCCTGGTCAGGGAACTAGATCCCACATGCCACAACTAAGAGTTTGCATGCCATAGCTAAAGACTTCACATGCCGCAAATAAAAGATTCCATGTGCCATAACTATTATCTGGCTGCTACTGCTGCTGCTAAGTCACTTCAGACGTGTCCCACTCTGTGTGACCCCAAAGACGGCAGCCCACCGGGTTCTGCCGTCCCTGGGATTCTCCAGGCAAGAACACTGGAGTGGGTTGCCATTTCCTTCTCCAATGCATGAAAGTGAAAAGAGAAAGTGAAGTTGCTCAGTTGTGTCCGACTCTTAGCGACCCCATGGACTGCAACCTACCAGGCTCCTCCGTCCATGGGATTTTCCAGGCAAGAGTACTGGAGTGGGGTGTCACTGCCTTCTCATCTGGCACATCCAAATAAATAAATAGAGGAGCAGAAAATAGGTGAAAATGAGAGAAAGAGGCTTTCCTGGTGACTCAGTGATAAAGAATTACCTGCCAATGCAGGAGACATGGGTTTGATCCCTGGGTAGGGAAGATCCCCTGGAGGAGGAGCTGGCAACCTGATTCAGTATTCTTGCCTGGGAAATCCCATGGACAGAGGAGCCTGGCGGGCTACAGTCCATGGTGTCTCTGAGTCAGACAACTGAGCATGAGCAGAAGAAAAAGAGACAACCGAAGACAGGGCAGCGAGGACGCAGGGACAGAAGCAGGGAACGTGGGGGACTCTGCGGTGATGGACCGGCCCTTGGGGTGAAGAATTGGGTGAGAAAAGAGCAATAGAGGGCCAGGGTGACAGGCGGGCTGTAGTCAGGCGACGGGGAGCCTGAGGCGGCTCGCTCAGCTCTCGCCAGGGTGCAGTGGAAACCACTGAGGGCTTCTGAGCAAAGGAGCACACAGCTGCACTGCGGGGTGATTCAGCTGGGGAGCAGTTCTCAAGACAAGTGAGGGAAGGCAGGTCAGAGGCAGGAGAGCCAGCGGGGAGCCGCTGAAGTAGTCTGGGAGAGACACAGCCGTCTGCAAATAACAGCGGGGGAAGGCTGTGCCAGGGACACGGGGCGGGGGGGCGGGGCACGCAACGGAACTCAGGACCCAGGGGCGGCAGGAACTGAGACGCAGGAGAAGAGGAAGAGCAGGAGACCTAGGCGGCGGCGGAGACCAAGGGTACCTTTGCTTCATCCCGGGGCCTGCGGGGCACACACGTGGGGAGACGAGTGAGGCTGAGAAACTTGGCACTTGGCACTCATGGGAGGTTGAGATTCGGGAGTCACCGCCTGAGATGCGGACTGCATCTGCAGAGAGCAGGAGGAAGGTGTAGGGAAGAGTATGTTACGAAAGGAGAAAAGAGCACCAAGGCCAGAAGCCCGAAGACAGAGGAGAGAATGTAATGTCACAGATGACAAAGTAGACAGGGACCAAGGAGGGCAGGCCACAGTGAACACCGCTGCTAAGAGATCAAGCAAAATTAGTTCTGGAAAAGATCCACAGACGGCTGGGCCTTTAGGGCCTTGTGGTTTTAGCACAGTGAGAGAAGGTGCCTGCGAAAGATAAAGAGCAAGTAGGCTCTGTGAATATGGTGACAAGCCTTCGCTCTGGTGAGAAGGGATTCCCAGCGAGCGGCAACCCCCGGCCCTCCCTGCGCATCCTCGTACTGAGCACACTGCCAGATACATGGGGGTAAGAATCTGCAGCAAGGATCAATGAACAGGTTTTTTTTTTCCAAGTGGCCTAGCATCAAAATAAATATGAGAAAAGACCAGAAGCTCCAAGGAGTAATAAGATGTTATTTCATTTTTAAAACACAGAGAAGGGTTGAGCTCATGCCGGCAGGAGGAAGCTCATGAAGAGAAATTCCCAAGACTAGTAATACATGGTCCAGAGCAGGTGCTCAGAAAGGGCCGTCCAGCTGAATGTGGGGAAGGCATGACTAAACGTGCACTCTCTGGAAGGTTCGGGAGAGAGCTACAACAAAATGTATTTTTACAGCCTCATTTTACAGTTAGCACTGAAGTCTCTTCTCTGCTAGGACACCAAACTTGTCCACTGCAGGCTCCTGGCGATGCTTCGTCAGGGCTACCATCTTACAACATCTCTTGCCTTCCTCCCTCCTCATCTTCCCAACTAAGGAGATAAGAAGCTCCAATCCCATTATTCTACTCCAGTCTGGAGAAGGCACATGCCCTTCCCACCTCCTGAACTTCCCTCGGTCCTTTCTCTTAAACACAGTTTAGTGGCAAATATGTGGTTTTCAGTATCTAGTTCTTTTGTTTTCAATGTCATGTCTTTACTGTTAAACTTTATTGTTAAAATCAATACAAGTTTGGCAAAAAATGGTCAACTATATGGTTCCTTAAAAAAAAGGAATGAATGACCTTCTTACCATCCAGTCATAAGTATTAGTCGGACACCCATACACAATTTCATAGGATTTAGGAAGGCACTTCAGATGTTCATCCCTGTCTCGAGTTAAAAGCACTGGGTACCCCCCGGGCCTGCCCTTGAAAACTAAGCTTCTTCATAAAGAAAACAAAATAGGAAGTAAAGAATTAAACCGAAACCCAAAGACACCAGCATTCTCGGATCAGGGCACAGGTTCAAGAGTTTCTACCTCATAACCCTACTCAGGACCTTTAATCAGGCCTCAGTTTATCCAGCAACAAAATATTGTCAGTAATAATCCTCAAGGTAACAAGAATGGCTTCAATAAACTTCAGACAAAACCTCAAATAAAATGCTACATCAGATCAAAGAAAGGATTTGTTTTGCTATAGATGACAGTAATTCATTAAAACGCCATCACCTTTCCACTTACCATATTTTATTCCCTCTTTCAAAGCATATTGAGCTTTAAGAATAAATTAAGACATACGCTGGAAAACTTTTGATTCATACCAATATTCACATAATAAAAATCACTTGAGCTTTATAAGAGTAAATGCCTAAAAATTTTAGACTTAAAATGTTTAAACGTTCCTTAAAAAGTAACCTTTTAAAAAGCACTGGGAAAGGGCACCCACCCCAGGGACATGAGGAACTACCGAATTCTGTGTTTTATAAACCCCCAAATTGTATTTTAAAGATTCAAATTAAAACTTTACTTAAAACAACAGCTTCATGCTTCTCAGCCTTGATGTGCCCATTACCAGTAGGTGGGCATTTCCCAGGGCTGCAATAAACACCCAGGAAACTACATGTGCCCATACATAAATCCAGTGATGCTCAGCGGCACAGGCACCACCCAGGAATTTACAGAGAAGAACATTCTCAGACCCACCCCAGACCCACAGAATCAGAAATTCTGAGGGCTGGCCAAGCACCTGAGTTTTAACCAAGACTTCAATAGGTTCTGATACACTCAAAAGCTCAAGAACCACTGGTCTCTCGATTCAAAGCAACTGCTCCATAAATTTTCCCTAAAAAAATGTGATCCCTGACTGGATTACTGTGACAGTGCTGTTGTTGTTTAGTCACTAAAGTCGTGTCTGACTCTTTTATGACCCCACCATGGACCACAGCCTGCCAGGTTCCTTTGTCCATAGGGTTCTCTAGGCAAGAATACTGGAGTGGGTTCCCACACCCTCCTCCAGGGGATCTTCCCAACCCAGGGATTGAACCCGAGTGTCCTGCTTGACAGGTGGATTCTTTGCCACTGAAACACCTGGGAAGATGCAACTGCTCCATAAATTTCCCTAAAAAAACCAGTGACTCCAGACTGGATTATTGTGACAGTGCTGACTGGCTATCAAACGAGAGCATACAAATTAATTTCACTGAATGGAGAAACTGGGCTACTACAGAGATCACTGCAGACCCTGGATCGCAAGCTGTAGGTGTTCTGTGGATACTGCTGCCAGATGGGTCTAACTTTCATGGCCCACACCATGGCTTTGACAGACTA